AGTTCAAATCAGAAAAATATATGTAATTGGTATATAGAGGTAGTTGGCATGTAAATAAAGTTTTGGGATTTGATATGCTCTAATTGGTTTGTAAAATCATATGATACTAATTTATGTAAATTAGTCAATTGTATTTAGTAAAAGTTTTAAAATTATTTACTATTTTGTTCAAGTAAAGGTTTTGAAAAGTCAATGTGACATCTCGGACTCGTAGCCGGATCGGGTACGGGTTGGGGGTGTTACATTCCCACCCCTACTGTCCTCATTAGACAGTAAACTTTTTTGAGCCAGTCATCTCTAAAGAGGCATAAAAGTAATACTTCTGGTAGCCAGCCATCTCCAAAAAACTATACCTTTTGTTTGATATTTTGAGTAGTGCATTTGACCATACACATTATAGTGTTTTGATCAGCTGATATTGTTAGGTTTTGTGCTGATAGCTGAAAAGAGCTTATGTATGTTCAAACAATTGATCTCTAAATGTTTTTTTTTTTGCTTATGTGTATTGGTCAAACATTCGATGTATGCCATATATTGGCTTGAAAATGAATTCAATGACTTTTTTGTATGTTTTATTTCCTTATATTTGAAGCATTTCCTTAAGACAAATCTAACTCACAAATTTAACATTTCATTTCATTAATACTTAAAGCATAACACTGAAAATAACAGGTTACATACATTACATCTTCATTTCTAACACAAGTCTTGCATCTTCATTTCTAACACAAATCTATTAACTCATACAATGTAGTTAACAACGCATAGCATAATATTACCCTAAATTACTCCCACAAAAAAGACAAAAGAAGAAGACTTAATCAAGTAATTATAATTCCCAGTATCACTCCCACAAAGAAAACAAGAGAAGTCAACATCCAAGCAGTTTTACGTTTCCTTTGCTCCTCCTCCATAGCTCCAATCTTTCTTAGAAGACCAATAATAATAGCTTTTGACCGATAACTTACTGGTGGATCATACCAGCAAAAAAATTTGCAAACCCGAGCTCCTTTTCCATAATTTCCACAACCCCAAAATTTCCTACCAGAATTTTCGTTGGTCCATCCGGTTATTAGCGTCGAACGAACTCCATATAAACACATCCTATTCTCATTTTCTTCATCCATGTTTCGAAGCAGTATTCTCTTCTTCTTCCTTCACTCTTTGTTTCTTCTATTTTCAACAGCTATGTTAGGGTTTTTAGAATGAGGAAACATTTGAATTTAAGAGTTTGAGTGCCCTTAAATGGTTTAATTAATGTGTCGTGGTGCATGTCCATGACGTGGCGTGGTGCATGTCCAACCTGGAAACAATACGCTTATTGAGCAGCCACATCGGACGCACCGTTATTTTTTTAACGAAGAGTGGTCTGATTGAATTAATTAAAAAGTTTGGTGGTCTGATTGAGACAAAAAAGTTTGGTGGTCAGATTGATTAATGACCATAGTTTGGTGGTCTCCCGTGTAGTTTACCCTTAATATTATAAATCATTGTATTGTGTTATCCGGGAACCCTGTTTCAATAATATAAATTCTTGTTTTCTCCTTGTTTCCTGAATTGGGTTGCAAGGCTTACATCAATGCCCCTTTCTTTCTGTCGTTTCTTTTCTATTGTACATCACTTAGAAAGTTAAAGTGACGGAAGATATTATAATGACTTCATTAATAAATGACTTAATTAATAGAAGGAACCCCATTGTTTAAGGTATAGACAATTGAATGATGCCTAGCTAGATGGAGACCTTTTGTACGCATGTGACTTAAAACATACTCCATAGAATAATTGGTCCAAAAGGGAAAAAAATCCCATTTAGGTGATGCTTTAGTTTATTTGTGGGCATCACTTAACCCACTTTCCAAGTGATTATAAACTTCGAAAAAGAGATTGCTTTTGTCTGCACCCATACCTTTCCAACCCTGCTCTTCTCCTTTCCACCGATTTCTTTTTACAAAGGAGGCGACAACAGATATTAAGAGTCAAATTTTGAACTTGTTATATGATTTTGTACATAAGAATGTTATTATGAGATAAGAAAGATTTAAACAAGTGTTGCATTTTCTTGGTTCTTCAGTTCATAAACTATACATTTGTCGTCATTCTAGTATCTATCAAATCTCAACATTTTTAAAGTTTTTTATCTTCCGTCCAACTATAACCTTTTAATATGATTATTAATAGACCAACGTGATTTACTCTATTTGTCCAGTTAACTTACCTATAATCATCACCATTGTGTAAGGTTAGAAAAAGGGCTCTTTCACTCAAACTCTCTCAACTATATATCATCCACTCATCTTCCCTACCCTCTAGTTTTCAACTCTCCACTCATATCAAAAAGAATGAACAGTTAAAACACCATTATAATCATATTTCTTGAATGTCAAGATTTGAACTTCAATCTTACAATATGTTTTGATTTATTTTTGGCATTATTATCCTTTTTAGAAAGATCGATATTTCCACTCAATAAGAAAATGAAATGGAAGAATTCTTTGAGCTATTTGGTCTTCATGGCTTGGTACAACTTATGAGGTTTTAATTGGAAACTAATTAAATAAGCGAGAGATTTTGAGATTACTTCCGTAATTTGAAGTCCGTAAAACCATAAATGCATGATGTAAACATATATTTTCGTCCGGATTTTTATATAGTATAATATATATAATAAATATAGTTTTTAAAATATATAATATATAGTTTTTGGAAACTTACTTTTAAAAACGTATAATATATAGTTATTAAAACGATTTTGAAAACATATAGTATATAATTTTTAAAACAGTTTTGAAAATATGTATATAATATAGTATTAAAAAATGGTTTTTGAAAACGATTTTTGAAAATATATTAATATATTATATAGTTTTTGAAAAATATAATATATGTTATACAGTTTTTATTATTTGTATTATTTATTAGTATTTTATATATTAGGTTATATTATTATTATTTATTTATTTATTAAATTTTAACATGTCCAATCCAGTCCAAAGTGCAGCCCAACCGAGATAGCAAGCCTGACCTAATAAACCAGTTCGGTTAAGGGGGCTTGACCCATCCCATACGCAAAATAGGTTTCACAAATCAAGCTCAATGCCGCATCTACCATAGCCATCATATCAAAACATTAACTAACGGTTGAGATCGAGGTAAAATAGGGTTGCAAAACCCTAATCATATGAAGCCAAGCACCGCATGAGAGGAAGCAAACATCGCGTGTTGAGGTCACGCGCCAACAAGTTGGCCGAGACTTTTAGCCGAACGCCCGGGACTGAACCATCCCGGGATTTCGGCCCAACAACGACTTCAATAGAACTTGAAATAGTCGGACAATAACCCCGGAAAGATCGAGGATGACCCCGAGATCATCAGGACCCAAACAACCGATCGAAGGCTATAAAAGCCTCGTCGAGGAGGTCGAAGAGGATGGAAAAATAACCAAGCAACGAACCAGCAGCATGATACCAAAAAACCATCGAACACAATACCACAAAAAATACCAAGGCATCCACAAGCAATACAACAAGGAAAGAATGAAAAAAACATAAAAGAAAATCGAGTTTATCGATCTAGCATCGGAAGAGGAACAACCGTCGAGGAAAACAAAAAGGCCGTCGTTGGAAGAGGTAAAATCCCAAACCTTTGCACTTAGATCTACACCGGATTAAGGGTTTTTAGGGGATTTAAGTATTGGTTTCGGGCTCACAACAATAAAAGGGACATTTTGGGTGAATTTGGTTTTTTCGTCCATCGGTAGTGGTGGCCGAAGTGACGGTTGATGGAAGTAGGGACGGTGGGGGCTTCGTCGGAGTATGGTCGACCCATGGCCGGTTAGGGGAAAGGTTGAGAGAGTTTGGGGGGTTTGGTTTTAAGAAATGGTTGAAAATAAGATGAAAATAGTGTTTTTGTGTATTTATATACCAAGGACCTTTGTATAATTAGTAGATACTTTAATTATTTCCACAGTCCCTCAAAGTTTGATGCGTAATTCATTTTGGTCACCTATTTTAAATTTTCCATTGAATTTCAAATTTATTCAATTTAATCACTATCTAAATTTTTTATATTTTACAAATTAACCCCTCCTAACTTTTTGTTTTTCTTGCATCTTTCAAATAATATTTGTTTAGTCCCTAATTTCAAATTTTTTGCAATTAAATCCTTTTAATTTAAAGTTTTTTTTATTTTATATTTCTTAATTTAATTTTGTTTTGTTTTGATAGTGAACATTGATTTGATTCATTATTTTTTAGGGTCAATTTTAAACTCTACAATGGTAAGTAATCCGGATCGAACTTTTAAATTTTAATTTGACTTTTAATTTTCGACATTTAAGACAACCAAAAAATTAAATTAGTAGCAAAAGGGTATACAAGGGTGCTAATCATTCCTAGACTGTAACCGACCTCGAACCCGACATATTCTTGATAAAACGCATATCAGATAAGATGGTAAATTGGAGTGTCTTGTCAACCTAATTTTTTTTCTCTAAAAAATAAATGATCGGTGGCGGTTCTAACATATTTTATTTAAATTGAAGCCTAACTTCAGACCCACCCGAAGGGCAGTTACGACACAGGACATCAAAGAAAAATGCTTGAAGGGAACTAGCCAAGCAAATTGGTGAAATATACCATTGCGAGACACTTTAGCTTGTTGAACAACTCGATTCCAATGCTCTTTAACTTGGAAAGCATAAAGCTCATTTAAGTGCAATTTTAAAGGCTAACGCTTTGATCTTTAAACAAAAGAGGTTTGCATGTTTATTTGGTTTCACCTTCATGTTTACCCAAAGGACAAAACTTTCAGATTCAGACAAACCTAAGAAACTGAACAAAACCGGTTTCCGATCACCAGAACCATGATGCAAGATTTTTTATGCATCGACTCCATGCGTAACCATTCCTTGGAGCATAACCAATACATCAAACTACAATAACAAGGATCAAATGCGGTAGAGAGACTAAAAACTTCACTATCAGATTGCATAGGCAACGAAATGCCAATAATCAATAAGATCATTCACATTGCATAGACAATTTATAGTAAAACCAGCAATAAACTTCCATTAAGAAACAACAAAAGTACTCCTCATAAAACACTTCAAAGGTCCCAGAATAAACTCAATAAAAACATGATCTTAAAGTTTCTTCTAATTAGAAAACCATACTAAAATGGTACATACTTGAACGAATTCCTCCCTGCTTCGCATCATAAATCCCTCAGCGATACTGCCAAAGGAAAACAGAGAGCAACCAGGGGTTAAGAAAGCTGATAAGAGAAATTTCAAGATTAAAATAACATTAATCATCAGATTAATAATTTCAAAGAGTCATTCGTATTACCTTAATGAATCCAATTTCCTTGGCATTGCTACGGAAGCACTGTCTGCAACACATGAGTCCATACTTCCTTATGATGGCATGGGGGTTTCCACATACACGACTAAAAAAACAGAGTATTAAACCACCAAAAAATTATCAAATAACCAAGACTTCAATCATATTGACCCAAAAAAGCTTGAACAGATGTTTCTCTATGCCGCCTAATGCATAATTCATAACAATCTCAACATAAGGGAAAACCTATATCACTAACACTATTGTACATAAAGATGATCATGATAAATAAACACAAATCAATAATAAAATATTATTTCAGATCGTTAACTTCAACGCAATAAATGCTAAAAAAATGTGGGAGAAGATTGAAGTCAGACATGATAAAGAGTTAACAATAGCAGTCACCTAATTAAAATCCCGAAGCAATCAAAAGAAGAAGAAAATGAGAGAAGATGAAGTTACCAGGCGCGAGAGCCAGGCCCGTAGGTCTTGGGGTGAGAATTCCAGACATTAGAGTGACCCATGATTGATCAAAAGCTCCGGAAGGCGAAATTAGGCTCGTGAGCTTATTGAAAAACCTAGAATCGGAGGAGCCTGGTCAAACGGGAAAACGATGCTATTTATAGATGGATTCCAGAAACCCTAGTTTCGATATTCTGAACAGATTGTTTTCTTTTGGTCAAATTTGTAGTTTCATCCTTGTTCTATCCTCGATTTCAAGGTGATTTCTTAAATATAAATTAGTAACAAAATAACTATTATATAACTAATTACTAATACGACCTGTTAGTCAACTAATTCAAACTGGGTGTTGTATACGTTCATTAGGGAGACAATAATTCGAACTGTTAACGTTGATTAAAGAATCCACATCACTTCAATAAATCAATAGTTGCTGATTAAAAAAAAAGAAAATAACTATTCTTAAGATAAAAAAAACTATTTTGATAATTATAATCATACATTTGGTGGTATAAAAAAATTAAATTTAGTTATCTATTAAGAATCATATATATTGACCACTGAAAATTTTGAACGATTTCAATAATTTGGACTAAAAACTAGCATTAACAATATTAAAAGGGTCAAATTGTATCAAATTAAAGTATTATGACTAAACCCATAAATTTAATATAAAATAAAAAAATTTATGTATGCAACTTTTCTATAATATTTTTTGTTATAATATACTTTTTTATGCATGCAATTTTTTAAATTAAATTTTTCTATAGACCCATCCAATAAAAACAGAAAGTGAACCCTCAAGAGTTTAGAATAACAAATGGAGTGCTTACAAACGCTCCCAAATACTATAAGCTATTTATTACATCAAATTTTAGGCTTACAACAACTAACGCGTAAGAAGAAAAGTCAGGAAGCAAAATTTCACAACTAAAACAAGATGGTTCCCTAATTCAGTTTTGCCCCTAAGCATCCTAGTACTAAGATTATAAGGACCTGATTCCGGTGATCAAACAGTTCTTTATCAGATCTTTAGTCCGTCTTCGAAAGCCGAGAATCAATGGTAGCAGATCAATCAGCCGGTAACCGAAACCGGTTTCTCTAGACTTGCCATGTATGCCATATAGACAGTCCATAAATACGAGAACAGATTGCTCACCAGCGGCTGTCAAAACTGAATGCCATCAGGAATAAATTTCATGAATTTAAGCCACATAAAAGGAAGAAAAAGGAAAGAAGGATCAACCATACCTGCAAATGAACTGGGATGAACCTGAAAGTGATGAAGTCGCAAAAGGGCCAATACATCAGACCATTTGACATTGTAGGAAGCAAGTCTCGTTTTAACCTTGAAACAATTTCTTCACCGCTTTCACCTACAACCATCCACAGCAGCTTAACCAAAGTACTTGTATCAATTATTTTTGTAATGTGCATGATAAATACAATATGACTCCTAGTTGAATCACAAGCATATGGATATAAAGAGGTTATGCACGAGTAACAAACATCATACATCGAAGCAATTCGGTTATTTTCAAATATAAAAATCGGTAGGGCGAGTAAGTAGTGACGGAATAATCAGCATAACAGAGCAACTACAGAATGGCAACTGCATGCAAACATGTGTTCATCTCATGATATGCAGGGAAAGGGCATAACATTGTAGCTAATGAACTGCAAAGCTGTGTCCATCCTGTGACATGTAAGGAACATACCTTGTAGACGAGCATTCAACGAGAAGAAAACAGCGGTCATGAACGGTCCAAAAAGTAGCTGCCCCATGGCCATTTTCTTGAAGGTAGTGATCAAATCCCTCTTTGGAAAGAGTTTCGACATCAAGTTGAACCAGAAATGCAGTGACGGTCCTAATATCAACAATCGAAATCCAGCCATTCGTGACGTCCTCACCAAATCGTAAGGATCCGCAGATGACTTCGAAATTGTCTGACCATAAAATTCCATATTAAAAACGTAATGAAAGATGCAGGTCCTGACTCCTGATGCAAGTAATTACAAAGGCTAAATGTATGGATCATAATCAAATGCAATTAAACTATAGTCCATAGTGTTTATGCATACACCACATAAAGGAAATTATAATGTGTAAGAAATGCTGACAATGAAACTAAACTGAATTATACTTAATACCAGAAAACGAAGTTCAGATGATGATTAGACAACAAAATATCCAATAAATCAATATATCGTTTTTATAATGAATTACTACATGGTACTTTTTAAGCATAAGTAAAGAAATTGTGATGCCTTTATGTTCTAAATGCTTATTTACAGCATAAGACAAGTCATATTTGACTCATCAAAAACTCAAAGAAAACCTCCCATGTTTTTGGTGTGAAAATGCATCCTTTTCAGGGGGGAAAGTGAAGTTTCAAGCCAACCCAGAGGATTTTCTTTCCTTTTCCTCCACTTCATCATCAGCCAAACAGAAACCATATACAAAACAAAATCCCCATGGTTAAATCTTTTTTTTAAAAGAAAAAGGGATTACCTGAGCAGACAAATCAGCAGCTGTATAAATGACCGAAGAAGTAACGCTCTTTGTTAAAACGGGCCACGACTTCACCATTCCTAAATACCATCCAACAAACCCAATCTTCCCAAACGACGTCGTGGAAGACGAAGAAGAAGAAGAAGAAGAAGTGAAAAGCGATGGGGGGATCTCATATTCTCTCACTTTCCGTTACACGTTCGGGAACCGAAAATACTCTCTGTTTTGGGTTTGCGTTTGCGTTGCGTTTGGTTCCTAAGAAACGTATGGATTCTGTTGATCGGGTCGGCTAAGTCGGGTTGTTTCAGTGAGAAGCGGGTGAGGCTACCGAAACTAAGCAAAGAACCGCTCATTATGTATGTGCTTTCCTTCTTCTGGGGGCTTCTTCTGTTTCTCTTTCAATGGCGTAGGGTTACTGTATTATTTTCTTTCAAGCTTTGAAAGCTTTGATCTTTGAGATGGTTTAGCCGTGGTTTTGACTTGTTTTAAAGTTAATTAAAAAAAAAAAAAACAGCATACGAATGGTCCCGATTAAAGTGGTGCTTTGGTGAGTATTCCGTTTTAAATATGTTTTTTTATTCATAGATCTTATTTTGTTGAATTTTTTTATTATTAAAAATTATAAATGATTGTATAATTATTTATAAAATTTAAATTCTTTTTTTAAAAGATTTACATTTGTTAACATTTATTGACATTTATGTTATTTTTAAATACCGACTCAACGATATAATATTGTAAGAATTGACTTGATAATATAATATAAATAAAGAGTTGATATATAAAATACAACTCAATCATATTTTATCATTTCTTAATAAATTAACATTCAGTTCACACAATCATCAACTTTTAATTAAAAAGATGAACTTACATATATATTTTACATGATCATTATATAATTTTAAATAATTAAAGGACTCAAAATCAATATCTAAAAATCATTTTATAAATTTTAATAATCCTTATTATATATAATTAGGGATAATTTGTGTACTTCATCTAAGAAAGAAAATGTGTTTCGTCTTAAGCTTTTATTTTTATTTAGGGTGTGTTTTTGTCGTAAAATGAATTACAGAATTGGTTTTCCCCGAAATCACATGTTTGGTTCATGTAATTCGTTTTTTCAAAAATATTTTCTCGTGTTTGTTTCACTTAATTCGTTTTCCGAAAAATGTTTTCCAGTGTTTGGTTGGAAGAAAATTGGTTGGTCAACGTAATTCATTTTACTGGTCTACAGAATTTCCTTTGTGTTTTATGGAAAATGACTTATGATCTAATTTTCCGTAAGTCATTTTCTAAACTTTTCACTTCAAAGAATAAATACTCAAAATAATTTAATTTTATGAATTTAATATTAATAAAATATTTTAATATTATTTTCATCAAAATATTAATTATTAAAACATTTAACATATATTTATTAATATTTATATAATAATATTATATTTTTAATTATAATAAAAATAATCAATTTTATTATAATAATATAAGATATTATATTTTTATTTTAATAAATATATAATAAATTTTTTATATATTTAATAATGAATAATATTATTTATATATTTAATATAATAATCTAATAATATTTTAATAAATATATTTAAAATATACTAATTAATATTTTTAAAATATAATATAACACTATTACTTTAATAAATAATTATATAATTATATATTTTTATTTCTAAAATATACCAATATTAACATTTATTAATAAATTATAAAAATAATATTTATTAATAAATAAATTATTTTAATATTTTAAAATAATAATATTAAGTTTTATGATAAATAATATTATTTATTGTATTTATTATTTGTAATAAATAATTTTAAAAAAAATCATTACTAGTGGTAAAAAAATTTTTAAATAACATCTTCCAAACATCAAAAAACGTTTTTCAGATTTTTAAAAAAAATGTAATTCATTTTTCGAAAAACGTTTTCCATAAATGTAACTCATTTTATAGAATTCAAATTCAATAATTCATTTTCCAGTAATTCATTTTCCAGAAAACTAATTACAGCAAAACAAGCAGACCCGTAATTCATTTTACGAAAAACATTTTCCATAAATATAATTCATTTTCCAAAATTCAAATTCCAGTAATTCACATTCCAGTAATTCATTTTCCAAAAAACCAATTACAGTCAAACAAACATACCCATAATTTCGGGTGTTGTTCACGTTAGGTATTTGGTCTTTGAGAGGGCTTGTTTTTTTTCAAGAATGTTTGGAATTCGCGAGAAGTAAATTCCCGTTGGACAAATGTAGGAATAGATATCTCTGAGAAACAGGTTTAATTATTCTTCTAGGTCCTCCACTCTTTTTAGTTCCATAATCCCGTGAATTTAATTCCTTTACCTTTCAAATTACGAATCCAATATTATCCCAGACGGTCGTTATGAAGAAAATGAACGTTAAAAGTTGAGTAATTATTCTGTTCAAAATCAACAATGTTTATGATCATAGCATAACTTTTCAATTTTCGGTGGTTAAAAGAGAATTTTATTCATATTTTAGTGATTGTTGGTGTAATCTACATAATTTTAATTTAATTTAATAAATGGATATATATAAACTGCGAGTAAGAAATGAAATAGTGAAGGTGCAGCGCGTGGAGGTGTTAGAACATATTCGAATACTCT